TAATTAAAAATCAAGTTAATAAATATATAAATCAAATTAATAAAAAATTAAAGCAAGTGCATATATGCTTTATGCATTGTTATAGTATCGTTCTTTATATACATATACACATTATTAAAGTCTCATTATACATTATTGCATTGCTTATATCATTATTGTTCACTTAGCTAGGGTAACATCAAGTCTAATACTTTTTGCTAGACTTGGTTGTTGTTAGCGCATTTGGTGTTTGTCAATGCGGCTCAATTAGAATAGCCTGCTGTTACCGCTGTTGTTCCTTTCGTTGTTATTGTTGTTGTTGTTGCTGTCATTGAACTTTGAACAAAACGCATGGGAAGCCAGCAGCAGCAGCAGCAGCAGCAGCAGAAGCAGAAGCAGCAGCAGCAGCAGCAGAAGCAGCAGGGTCGCAGTCGGAGCTGGGGTTGTGCATGCCACACAAAATTAAAGTTTTGGTAATGGCAATAGTCGAAGGCACACACGCACATACACACTCACACTCACACAGACACACACACATACAGAGACACACTCTCTCTGTTTATAGCACACTTGAACCCATAAATCAACGCAGTCGTCCAAGCAATCCATTGTGAGGCGACCTCGTGGCCCCTTTACCCTCACTTGCCCACTTGTGCACTTATCCCCCTTTGTAGAGTATATATACATATATATAGACATTTATATATATACTATACTGTACACATATATCTGTATCTGTATTCTGTATTCTTTTGGATTTTATCAGCTGTTGTGCCAGCAGCAGAAGCAGCAGCAACAACAACTTTAGTTGCCCTTCGTGCAGCAATGCGCCACTGGAAAGAGAGACGGAGATAGAGAGGGAGAGAGATAAAGATAAAGAGAGATGGTCAGTCAATCATTCAGTCAATCATGGCTTGTCAGCAAGTGCCAATTACCGCTAAGCCTTCAAAAATCTTTGTGACTCACTCGACCATTGAAAGCCGCCTGGTGAGACGCAATCCCTCTCTCTCTCTCTCTCTCTCTCTCTCTCTCTCTCTGTCTCTCTCTTTCTCTCTGTCAGCAGTTGTCAGTTACCTGTTAACTCTACACGTCAAGCGGTAAATCACAACAAACCTTCGACTGTTGCATTAGATGTTAGCCTGCGTGAGAGTGTGTTCGTATGTGTGTGTGTGTGTGTGTGTGTGTTGGTGCTAGAGAGGTCTTCAAGTTTATTAGTTAACCAACACTGGACAAAGTTGAAGTTCAAGCAGCAGCAGCTAAAGGCAAAGTCTTAAGATTGTTCCAAGTATTTACTATACAATTAACTATAAATATAAGGCGAGACCGATAAGTCAGCAGTTTTAAAGGTTATTTATGGGATTACAATGGGTTATGTGATATATCTATATATATAAATATTGAAGTTTTATTGTTGTTGATGATAGATTGCATGGAATGCAT